GTAAAGCTGTAAACAGGATCTTTGTTGGCTAGATTTTGTTATATCGTAATTATTATCTAGCCATTTGTCGTTTACGAAGGAGATTACCAGGGGTGAGGAAATTGTAAGATTCTAGTTGAAGTTCGTGTGCTGTAAAGGTTCGAATGTAAACCGTAAACACAACTTTTGCGGTTGTGTATGATAAACGTCACCAGATAACCGCAAACATAAACGTAACTCAATGTAGCAAAGTTCAGAGCTATCAGGCATTTTTACGTTACGATTGCAATTCTGAGTTTACGTTCGATGCAAATAGTAGTTGATTCCTGAGAGCGAAAGAATTACAGTTAGATTCTATTAATAGAAACCAAGGGTATTATTATATGCTGCAACGTTTGGCCGTTTTCCCAATGAATTAACCAACTAATACGCTAAAAATGTGTGCTACAGAGTAGAAATATAACCAGCAATTTCCCATTGGTCATTTTCCAAGGGAATATTTCGTGTTGGATATAATAATAATAATAATAATTTATTGTCCAAACAGACTATCTAGTCTAAATACAGGACAAACTTAAATATTGTTCAATAAAAGCCGCACAGAAATATAGAAAAATTAACAAAAATGTAACAAAAATAATAATGATAGATTTATAACTAAAGCGAAAGAAAATTATTAACAGAGTTATAGAATAAACAAAGTCATAAATCAAAATACAATATTGGTAAATACGAGAAATTGTATTAGTGCAATGGCAAAAGCAAAAAAAAAGACAAAAATTATTGGATCATACTTATAAGGAATTTTAAATTAGTGTTAAATATATCAACAGTATCACATACCGAGTAATAATTATGACACAATCGATAAATTGGGGAATTTTGTAAGAGATTTGTTCTGCAATAGGGTAATTTAAAAGTTAGGAAATGTCTGGAGGAAGAACGAGGCACAGAGAAATTTAAATAATTGTGTAATGTGACACAATCAATTTCATTCCATAATAATTTGTACAAGAACGACACACTTATTCTTTTACGTCTGCTACTTAAGGGTAAAAGATTGAATCTTTCTAGCAGTAGATTTTGTGGGTAACCTCTTGTAGGGTAGTATCCATCACAACGAAATGCTACATATTTTAAAAGACGACGTTGTATACGTTCTAGGCATTTTTCGTGTTTTTTAAATGCTGGATTCCATACTAGTACACCATATTCAAGCTTGCTTCGTACAAATGTGGAAAAAAGTAGTATAATAGTTGACAAATTTGCAAAATCTGAACCAATGCGTATAATAAAACCTAAGGTTTTAAAAGATTGCCTAACAATTGTATCAATGTGTAAGCTAAATGTTAGCATGTTATCGAACAGAACCCCTATATCCTTTGTTTGAGTGTCTCTTTTTAAGGGTGTATCTTGAATTTGATAATTGTATCGGATTAATTGACGCTTGCGTGAAAAAGTTACCACCTTGCATTTATCAATGTTCAGGTACAACCTGTTTGCGTTACACCAATTATAAACACTTTCTAAATCGCTTTGAAGGCTCTCGCAATCCTTGTGGCTTGTGACCCTAGTGAAAATTTTTAAGTCATCCGTAAACAATAATCTCTGAGATGAAATTACGGAGGGTAAATCGTTAATGAATATTAAAAAGAGAAAGGGACCAAGAGTTGACCCTTGCGGCACTCCAGATGTAGGAATAAATGATTGTGAGTCATGCCCGTTATAGGAAACAAATTGACGTCGGTTAGTTAGATATGACTTCACTAAATTAACAATAGGGCAACTGAAACCATATTCGACAAGCTTGTTTAAAATAATGTTATGATCAATTTTATCGAAGGCTTTGCTGAAATCTGTGTAAATAACATCAACTTGCTGTCTATTATCTAGTGCTTCAGAACAATATTGCACAAAGCAAGTCAAATTTGTAACAGTTGATCTATTGGGAACGAAACCATGCTGGTAACTAGACAACTGCGTGTTAAATTGTTGATAAAGTTTTTTGTATAGTACTGTTTCAAAAACTTTGGAAAAGTTGCATAAAATAGATATGGGGCGATAATTTTCAACTTTAGATGCCAAACCTGTTTTTAATATCGGGCACACCTTAGCAACTTTCCAAACAGCTGGAAAAGTCCATTGTTTTAAAGATAAGTTAAATAAAATTGTTAAAGGATATGTTAGAATACAAGAGCAATCTTTAATTAAAAAGGCACGTATTTGATCAGTTCCGGCGGTCGGTTTGTTTTTTAAGCTTTTTATGGCTTCAATGACTTCATGCTCAGAAACAGAATTAATATGAATATAAGGGCTGTTGATGTAAACATTATTAATTTTGGCACAGGGGCCTCCTTTTTCATATACACTTGCAAAATATGAACCGAAAATATCAACAATATTTTGAGGAGTATTATAAATTTGAGATTTACACTCAACCTCACTTGGAATACGTGTTACTCCTTTTTTGCTACGTACATAGGACCAAAACTTGTTCGGATTTGTCGTAAGCACCTGTTCAGTTCGATCAGTAAAATTTTTATACAAGATACGTGTTTCTTTTTAGCGCATTTTTGAAAAAAATACGCTATTATATTCGTCATTGCTGGCAGGCCGGCTGTCCGCGTTAGATCTCCACAACTACATAGCTAGAGACTTCAAATTTTCACTAAAAGCTTTCTGCTATATAGTGTAGATGTGCAGGCACTAACTATTTTGAGTTAGATTACTTGTGAGATCGATAATTGAAGAAAATAATTTCGATATGGGTTTCGGAGGTGCTATAATTTTACCGTTAGATAGCGTTACCAGTATAAAAACTTATTATTTACTTTGTGATTTGTTTTACACAATGAAGACGTACGGTCAATTGAAATTAAATAATATTAATTATTTAACGCAGCCAAAATTACTCGTGAGATCGATAATTTTAAACTTCGCTAATAAAATACTGACCTGCATTACAAAAAATGCGCTTTAATCATGCATATGCTGATTTACAACTTGTTTTAATTAACTTACTTTCTGAAGAAAGTTGCGGGAGATAAACAACAATTATAAAAGGAAGTACGTCTAACATTATTATTAATGAGGACAGTACGAGTGCGATTCTTAATAAACATACGGCATAAGGGTTCAATTCCTGCCGATTTTTTAGGGTTTTTTTTTATTAAAAAGTTGCAGTTGGTTTTTCTCGATAATTGGTCATAGTGAGTAAAGCAACCTAGGACAGATTGCCTTCTATTTTCGCAAACTGTGTCAGTCAATTTTCTCTAGGCGTCAGATCCATGGGCGCCGCTACTAAAGGGCAAGGGGGGCCCGGGCCCCTCCCTGGGATTTGAGAAATCACTTAATCCCTTTTAGAAAATGTTGAAAGCTCACAATAAAACCAGAACACAGCCACATTTTTCTGTCCCATCGCTGTTCGGTGACAAAGCAAAAGTAGGTAAACCTTTTATAACCTTATTGAGTTACCTCAATGTCCATAAAGTTGCTATATTGTATAGACTATAGAGATTAAATTAACCGAAGACCGCAAGGTGGCGTTTTGTTTTGGAAAAACATCAATGACAATATTGTCATGTCACTTACATATTTCGGTTCGGCGGTTTTTAGCGCATTTTTCAAAAGGAAAACGAACGCTATTGTCCGCACTTTGTCCGTCTTTACCATTACTAGTCCTCCACTTTAAGCTTTTTCGTTGTGGTTTCTTTCTTATACAGTGTAGCACAGCCTCGAGGCCAGAACGACAAAAGACTTTTGGATTAGTCACTTCCTTCCCGACCCCGAGCTACGAGTATTATTACTGATTCTGTGCGGGGAAAATGCGCTTTCGTTGGTCGCGAGTGACCACTTTTTTAACTTGTTATGGAATAGATGCACATAAAGTGATGAATATACGAAGAATCGCATACGATTCAGTAGGGGAATTTTGTTACTCAGCTCGTATTGGGAAACCAGACTTTTCATCCGGCTCATATTCAATAGCACTGATTCTTGAACTCGTAGAAATCGATTGGCGAACATTTGACATCGCTGTGGTCTTTTCGTTCTCGAGTTAGACGAGGAACAGGCGCACAGGCGGACAAAACCATCACGTAAGAGGAATTTTTATTCTTCCGATTACATTGTTTTACCCTACTCTACATTCAACATTGTAATCAATAACATTATGGTTGGTAATTTGTTATAGTTTTGAGTAGAAAAATTATGCAGACACAGTTTAATGTTACAATTTGCCCTCGAATTTGCCTTACGCACTGTAATTTTTATCACCTGCACGTTAGTAAGAGAGGTATTGCATTGGGGTAAAAAATGACCCCCCCCCTACTTTTTTTCGGAAATACACATTTTGAAACGCCAGGATTCCGAATCCAACAACATTTTGATGATGTCTGTCTGTCTGTAGTGTACTGTTCTGTTATTGTAACCAAATTTGGTACACATATTCTTAGATATAAAAGGAAGAGCTGAAAAGCTTTCGGGGAGAATAGCGCATGCGCAAGTGTGTTAAACTTCATATCTGGTACACGTCATTAACGGCTGAACCGATTGAAACCAAATTTGGTACACATATTTTTGAACCTAAAAGAAGGTACAACGCGCATGCGCCGGTGTGCGAGTGGTCTCTGTGCTAACCACAGCAAATTTTATAATATAGTGCTATTAATTTCATTTTTTTTTCCAGTAAACTACTGTAACTTGTTACTTTTGTTCTTGTTTTCTTTTGTGTCTTATGTACCTATTACACTATTACACCAAGTGGTTTTTATTGGATATATGATTTAGCTGCGTATCCTATTGAGTGACTAATTTAAAAATAGTTAGGTAACATTTTCTATTCCAAAAATGTAAGGGCCCCTCCCTAGCGCATTTTCTTCCGGCGCCCCTGGAGATCCACGCCTTTCCCTATTGGGGAGGTTGTTTCTCACCGTTTATCTAATTAGATGAGTGGAAGCTGGCGCGCTAGAACTCATGGACGATATTAAATCTTATCAAAGAGCTCTATTTATAGTTGGTTCCTGATAAGATTGCTCGCTCGACTATAAACGCATTCGATAATGAATTCGACCTAGACCGCGTATATAAATGTAGAAGGTCGCGACTATTGAAATGACAGTCACCTTTCACTGTGCAGTTTAGAACTACCGATGGCTTTTAATGCAAACGGTAAGGTTTTCCTAACGAATTGCGAGAGTGAAATTGTTTTGTAGAGCATCAACATTTGCGTTACAACCCCCTGCGCGACGAGTGGGTGCTTGTATCACCTCACCGCATGTTGCGACCTTGGAGCGGTCAAATCGAAACGGCTCCCTCGGAGAAAACCCCACAGTTCGACCCCACTAACCCCCTCTGTCCTGGCGTTACGCGAGCCTCGGGGAAGGTGACGCCCCATTACGAGTCCACCTACGTGTTCGAAAACGACTTCCCCGCGCTTCTCGATGAAGGGCCCGAGCCTCCTCCGCCCGAAGATTTCTTTTTCCAAGCGGCGCCCGCCAAGGGCACTTGCCGAGTGATTTGCTTCCATCCCAGATCGGATGTCTACCTGGCCACGATGAGCGTGGGCCAAGTCCAGGCGGTCATCGAGGAGTGGGTACGGCAGACCTTGGAGCTGGGGCAGAAGTACCGCTGGGTTCAAATCTTCGAGAACCGTGGCGCAATGATGGGGTGCTCCAATCCGCACCCTCACTGTCAAATTTGGTCATCCACCTTTCTTCCCAACGAGCCCAAATTGAAAGACAGAACGCAACGCGAGTACTTCGAAACGCGCAAGTCTCCAATGCTCGTTGATTATGCCAGAAGCGAGATGCGCAGCGGGGAGCGTGTTGTGTATCAAAACGAGGAGTGGTTGGTGGTCGTGCCATACTGGGCTGTTTGGCCTTTTGAAACCCTTCTGCTACCAAAACGGCATATAAGGCGTCTGACTGACTGCGATGAAACGCAAAAGGAGCAGTTGGCCATCACTCTTCAAGCTCTCGTCGCGAAGTACGACAACCTGTTCAGGTGCAGCTTCCCGTACTCAATGGGCTGGCACGGCGCGCCCACGGGTTCCGACCTCACCACCGACCAATCTCACTGGACCTTTCACGGCGCTTACTACCCTCCTTTACTGCGCTCTGCAACCGTAAAAAAGTTCATGGTGGGCTACGAAATGTTCGCCCAAAGCCAGCGCGATCTCACCGCCGAAAAAGCGGCGGGTATACTGCGCGACCTACCCGAAAAGCACTACTCACTGTAGCTTATCCTTCCACAAAATAAACGTTGAGAGCACACTTTGATTTTGTTTCAATTCAGTTTGCAGAAGCACGTGAAGAGCGCGTCCGACGTGGAATACCCCGCGTACGGCGTAACAGGACCAAATAAGGACATATCACCCTCAGGGGACAGGAGGCTGGCTCAATCCGCGCAAATGTACCATTATCAGCACCAGAAGCAGCAGATTATCGCGATGGAGAGGTGAGTTGCGGTACTACTTAACCGATACCACAATACTGTCGTTCTTCTTGCAGAGCCGCAGCGAGCGAGAGGCATGGATCGGTGTCGGAAGCTGATAGCGATGAGGAAAACGAAGAGGGGGATTACACAGTTTACGAGTGTCCAGGATTAGCTCCGGTAGGTCATGCATTTTTTTTTCTTACGTGGCGCAGTAGAGCACATGCTTAACTACGACATTGAGGGTTCCTGGTTCGAATTCGGGTTTGGGAATGAATTTTTTTAAGTGATCGAATCCACGTCCACTTAAAAATAGATAAAAAGGCATAAATCCTTTCCTCCAATTCTGGAGGGTCTCATCAAGCATTGGCATCAAATTTTAATATATTCTAAAAGTCGATCATTTTTAACATTCTAAGATTTAAAGATTATAAACATCCAGAGCCCAAGACCATAAAAATGCAAATGTCTCTAAAACCATACGGGTCTAATAGAATTGCATATACCAACATAAAATCACCAAAGTAGATGCTTTACAATATTCCAGATATTTCAGATACCTATTTTGGAGTTAACGGGAGATCCCCAATATTCCGACACCGTATAACCATCTAAGATATCATTCAATTACCAGGAATCTGATACTCCAAGATTTTAAGAGCTTGAGCCTAAAATAATTTCCTAAGATGCGTATTCCTAAACTCCCAGATTTCTAGATTCCAAGATTTAAAAAAAATTCCATTTTTTTACGAGTAAAAAGAATAAAAAAAGATACTCAAAAATTTAGGTTTCAAGCTTTCACGATTGGGAATGGTGCCACCATTTCAATTGTGCAATGTTTGAAATTCTGAGATAATCCCAAGATTCTAATATTCCAATATTCGCATATTTTCATATTCTCATTATTCCATATACCAATATTCCCATATATTCCTATATTTCCATATTCCCATATTCCCATATATTCTTATATTACCATATTCCCATAATCCCATATTCACATACTCTCACATTCCCATGATCGCATATTTCTATATTCCCACATCCCCAAATTTCTATATTCCCAAACACACATGCTTTAATGCTTCCAAGCTCCCCAAGTCAAATATTTCATTATTCACTTGTTCTCATAAATCTACTTTTATACACTCCAATAATTCGGTACCTCAAACCTCAAAATTCCAGCTTTCCGGCCCGTGCGGCCGCAGTTTAGTTGAAGCTGGACGGCGGCACTAAGGGTCCCTGGTTCGAATCCGGGTTCGGGCATAGATATTATTAAATATACAGGGTGACAATTTGAAAACTTACCACCCCTCATATCTTAGTAAATAAACGAGATATTTAAAAAAATCAAAATCCGTTTCGGTAATTCGGAGGGGGAATCACAATGACATAGTTGGCGACGCACCCCCTCCAACCCCCTGCGCCCCAGCCACCCCAACTTTTAAATCTTAAATAGTGACCCCCCATGTGTGATACGTCGTTGGAAAGCTCTGAAAAAATGCTTTCCAACCATACCAAATAGCATTACATTTAGGTTAGTAATTATCGTGCAAATCAAAAAATAAGCATGGAAAATCGTATTTAACTTCAACTTCCAAAGCCGACTTGACAGCAACTCATTTTTGATCGCCAGTTATAATCTATTCTCAAACTCTTCTCGAACCTTTTCAAATGTTGGTTTCGATATTCTTGAATTATCCTCTGTCTTAGTTCGTCTATGTTCGCCGGTTGCGTTTTAAATACGACAGATTTCAAATGTATCATATTAGTTTATTTTTTGATTTGCACGATAATTACTAACCTAAATGTAATGCTATTTGGTATGGTTGGAAAGCATTTTTTCAGAGCTTTCCAACGACGTATCACACATGGGGGGTCACTATTTAAGATTTAAAAGTTGGGGTGGCTGGGGCGCAGGGGGTTGGAGGGGGTGCGTCGCCAACTATGTCATTGTGATTCCCCCTCCAAATTACCGAAACGGATTTTGATTTTTTTAAATATCTCGTTTATTTACTAAGATATGGGGGGTGGTAAGTTTTCAAATTGTCACCCTGTATAGTGAGTTGGGTTGGTAGAGCAGCCTTGGCTGAAACTCCGCCCACTCAAAAATAAAGGCAAAATAAAGAAATAAATAAATAATAAAAAGAATTTAAGATACAAAAAAATATAGGTTTCAATCTTTGAAGGTTCCAAGATAACAAAAATGCCACAACTTTGTAACATTTCAGATAATCAGTGTTTGACGCTCCGGGATAATGATTAGATCACGATAAAAATCTCACTGCCCCTAATATTCCAACACCATATTCCCATATTTTAGTATTTCCAACACCTTATTCCCATATCTCAATGGCCCGTATGAATAAAAGTAAGCAAATGCTTATACTTGCAAAATTCAAAGTAAATACTCGTAAGTGCTCCTTCATACTGGGCGACTTAGCAGCGCTTCTAAGCAGAAGGATAGGACGCAGTGCAGCGCTGCTAAACCATGCTAAACAGACCAGTATGAAGGGGCAGTTACGAGTATTTACTTTGAATTTTGCAAGTATAAGCATTTGCTTACTTTTATTCATACGGGCCAATATTGCCATATTTCGATATTCCCATATTTTCATATTGCCATATTGTCATATTTCCATATTTTCATATTCCCATATTTCCATTTTCTCATATTCTTATATTCTCATATTCTCATATTCTCATATTCTCATATTCTCATATTCTCATATTCTCATATTCGCATATTCTCATATTCTCATATTCTCATATTCTCACATTATGTACCATATTACAATGCTCCCATACTCTATTACACCCATATTCCCATATTTCTATATTCCCATATTATATAATCCAAAATTTCCTAATTCCCATATTCACCAACACCCGTACCTATTCTCACACTCCCACACTCTCGTGCTCCCATGCTTCCTGACTCCAATATTACTAGTACTTTTTACTTTTTCGCATCCAAGTTTCTCTTTGAAAATACATTTTATTAAGATGACAGGAGTTCAAGGTAGTATGTTATCCTGATACTTCTTTGTGAGAAGTTTCGTACTAGGATCATACAAAAGTAAGGAAGGGAAAATATATTAGCATGCACTACTTAACAGTTTATGTTCTCCTGATACGGACAAACTGTCGAGCAAGGATTGAGGAAGATCCAGGAAGTGCAGAATCGCAAACAAAAGGAAAGAGGTATACAGTTTATTACCTCCCACTGCACTGTTTCTCTGATTTGTAAGGATCGCAGGATCGCAAAGATATACAGAGTTTATTGAATACCACTTTTTTACGTTCTTCGTATACCAATTATTTTAAAATACACTGTATTAAGTTAACAGGAATGCAAGGAGGTGTAATGTTGTTAGAAAATACTTCCTGAGATAACATGTTATCCTGATACAAAGTCTTCTTTTAAAAAATACCGTATCACGGCCATGCAAAGCAAAAGACCCACTAACTACTCGACCTTGTATTAGATTTCGGTTCAACGCCAGCGTGTGGAAACGGATCCTATCGATTAGGATCGATCAGGAAATTGAAACCGCGTTTATTTCGATTAGGCCAACGAATGAACTTAATTCAACTGTTTCCGTTTCGTTAGCTATAAAGAAATTTAATAAGTAGTCCTTGCTAAAATAAAGAAAACAATTATGGGCGATATGATTATATAATTCCTGATTAAGGATTATCAGTTGTCATTCAGGCGTGTGCGGTTTCTGGGCCATCAAATATCGCTTATAGCTACTTTAGATTGCTTCTTTGTCAATGCTTCAAAAAATCAGCACATGCCATTTTAACTTCAGAATCATTACTAAAGCCCTTATGGTTTATACTCAGTATTGTTTTGGAACTCTGCCTCCGATTTATCTCCTCTCAGATTCCACTCATAATCCCAGTACATAAACTTACCTTGGTTCCTCTAAGTGTGCAAATGTGTGTCTTTAAGACTGTGGGGTTTGATAATTCCGTTGGCTCCAATTATGGTTTCCAACGTGTGGCTTGGCTACACTTATGACGCGTTTCTCTTCGACGCAATTTCTACATCGATGCAACTTCCTACAATGCGGCTTGTCTTCTACAATGCCGTGCCTTTTACTCCTACATACTCTTGAACTAATGAGCTTTTAATTGGAAGTAAATTTATGAAAATTTAGTGCTACACTTTATATCTAAGGTTTAAATTGCTTTAAAAGGATTTTGTCACGTGTGTTCACGAACTCAGTAAATTTTGAGTTTTATGTTAGTTTGGGCAAGCCGAGTGGTAAATTGCAAAACAAATAAAGCCGTACATTTCTAATCACTATAAATAAAGACATACAAGTACAGTAACGGAGAGAGAAAACGGGACTACGTTTCATCCGTCGCAAGACGCTTCCAGTATAATGTACATATACTTAATTGTACTAAATTCAAGAAACAGGAATAAACAAAAATGGGATAGAGATGGGTACGAATGCAACAAAGAGAGAGAATTGTATTAACGGAAAAGAAGGGAGATATGACACACATGATGATACACATACATGGGAGAAAAAGGGAGGCCGGTAATTGGTCACATACTAGTGAACCAAAGAAATACTGGAAGAAATGAAATAATTTAGGGATAGAATCACCAGCCGATTTAAATCAGTCGAAAATAGAAGATAAAAAGATCAAGAAATGTAAAGGTACAAACACGAAGATAGATACAGATATGGACAACAGACAGGAGAAACAAAAATATGTAGAAATAGAAGAGAGCGCAGAGACGGAGTTGAAAAATACGAAGGAGAGTATTAAAAAGGCAATAACATGAGAACAAGTAGATGAAAAGGTAGAGAAAGATAAAATGGTGGGACAGAGTGTAACAGAAGAAGAAAAAGAGAGAAAGAGAGGGAGAGGACTGGAAACTGCACTTTAGTAAGGTAGAACAAGGAATGCAGGAGAAAGAGGGTGTGATAGAGGAAAATGGTAGAGAGGAAGGGAGCGAGTTATCAAGAGAAGAGATTGAGAGATTAAAAGTATAGTGGGGATGGGCGAATACGTAGTAATTTCAAAAACACGACCAAGGAGCTTTATGAAGAGGCTTGAAGTAGGATTCTCAAGTGTTTTAAATGGAGATAGAATAAGGATAAGGCATTACCAAAGTGGAGGAATCGAGTGGGAGGAAGGAATATAATAAGGTCCCTGGTGACACAGAAATAATGGCAACTTAGGTGGAGGACATGACGGAAATGATGGGAGTTAAATGTCGAAAAATCGAAGATGATGAGATTTGAGGAGAGCGGAGGAATAAAAAGGGAGGTAGAATGGAAGTGGAGAGAGGAGAGAGTAGAGGCAATAAGACGACTTAAATGTTTAGGGTACCAGATGCAACGAAGTAAAGGGGCAAACACAGGTATAAAGAACAGTGGTGTTGGGAATAGGAGTGAAGAAATTCAAAATCGAATTCAGAATAAGAAATCGCCTTCTTGATGCGATTGTGAGACGGGTGTCTATTGAACCCAGATGTAGGCGATGGAAGGAATGGGGTGAAATTGAACGGAAAACACCAAACTTCATATTGGAGGAGGAAATAAAAATGGAGAAGGGTCATCGGGTTTGACGACGATGGCTAAAGAAGACTGTAAAACTTGAATCGAACCAGTTCAGTTGGAAATAATCTCTCTTCCCCAAATGCCTACATTTATTACCAAATAATCCCAACCCCACAAGAACAAAGAAAAACTATTGTGGAAGAAACGGATACGGATGGACAGAGGTTGAAAGGAGGAGATAAATAGGGGAAGGGATGATAGAAGTATTTATAAAAAGAAACCAACATATACAAGTGCAGTAAAAGAGAGTGGAAATCGAGAATTAACGAGGAAACAGAAGAAATATCAGGGGGGGGGGGAAGAAAAAGTAGATTGTAAATTTACTGTTAATAAAACAAAACAAAACTTATCTTTGAAATTAGAATTTAAAATTTAATGCGTCGGAATGAATAAAATTAGTTTAAAATTGTTGTTAATTGTAAATCAGCACGCGGTTTATCGGTAAGCGGAAATTCGAAGCGAAAGGAAAGCGTTTAACTTAGACGATAAGAGGTAGTCACTTCTGTCGGACCTCACCAAGTGCCACGTTGTAATTTTTTAACTTTTCTCAAATGCTTTCCAAGTTTTATCCCAAACACCAGTTCTAGTTTAGTACCAAAAAAGTTTTTGGGCTATAGTTGTTTGATCCACCATTTTCTCTACAGTTTTTTTTAATATAAGGCCCAAAGGCCTAATTTTTTGGCGTATTCGCAAACGAAAAAAGACCGTTTGTGTTGAAGTGCATTTCATTTTTGTACTGTTACAATTTATTTACAAACGATGACTTTTCTGTGGTCGCCCGTGGAATACTAACAACTGAATTGCTCTTTCCTTAACCCAGACACGTAATCGTGCCATCGATTTCTGAATAAAACGCCAATTTAATTAAGATAAACTGTTTTAATGCATAATTTCAGTGACATCAATTATAAAATCACCTTGGGCTGGAAAGTTAGTCCTTGTGGCCGGAGTAAAAGTGATGTACCGTGTGCAAATTCGGTGCGTGATCATCTAAACATTCCAGCACGAGCACCGCCGTATCCCCACCGGTAATGCCCTTCACATTCATGCATTTGTTTATTATTTTAATCGCCACTCGCGGATTGTACGAGCGGCCGATGACCGATCTCACCATCTCCCAGTTGATCTCGCCGTTCTCGTCTTGATAGCCGTACCTCTTCCAGCAGCAGCTCAAGAACTCCTTGTACTTCGAGTTGTCGCCGAAAACCGCGTGCTCGCGCTTGGCTTCTCGCACGAGGTGCTCGGAGACGCCCGTTTCGTGGACGCAGGCACGCTCGTCCTCGTCAAGCTCATGGACTGCCTGAAATGTTAACGATCAAGATAAATTATTAATTTGCTACATGACGTAAACGTTATGTAAAGAAATGGCTGGTCCTACCCCTAATATGGCGAAACATTTTCTGTTACAGAAACGTTTAACGCATTTATTTTCCATAAACCCTTCCCAAAAGGTGCAGGTTGTATGTGGATTGGATTTGGGAAGAATTGGAAAGATAAACGAAATTTAGATCTGATCAATTGGACATGGTCATTCAAAATGAGTAACACTTATTTGATACATGCAAGGGGGGCCTTTGGGCCGAAGGGGATTTATAAATAACGATTTGTTTTCCTAAAATTTGTTATTCCTATACCAAGTGTATCTTTACGTGTTTCCTATGTTTGTCACTCAGATTCTCCCTTGTTCGTACCAGATTTACGCTATTTATAAAAACCTTTTTACATTAATTGACAACTATATAATATTTTCTGCATTTCTTCTTTTTTTCCCCCCCCCTTCTACCAGTATTTCTCTCCTGCTTTCCCTTGTTCTTTTTACTTAGTATTCCCATATCAGATGACTAATATCTCTCTTTCTCTCCACGTAGTCTGCATTTTCAGTATTTTTCTCCTTTCCACTTCACCTTTCCTCTCTCGCGATTATTTTATTGTTTTTTCTGATATTTCAGCACTCCTTCCGTTATTATCTCCTGTTTTCTTGTGAAGTTTCTTATTCTGACCTTGTTTTTGAATATCCTCTCACCTATTTCCCACACCTGTCTCATCACCACTACTCCTTTTTTCTTAAGTTTGTTACTTGCTCGTTTACCCCATTATTTCGATGTATCTGATATCCTCTTGCTTCCTCTACTCTCCCTCCACTCTCCCTTTTCTTCCTGGCCCTTCCCAAAACTCGTCATCTTTGATTTAGTTCTACTCCTTTTCTCTACCAGTACCTCTCCAATGTTCTCCCATAATGTCTTTCATCTGTTTTTCCTCTATTGCCATTATTACTGTATCATCATAGTATGCCAGAGGGAGCATATCTTCCTTCCATGTTATAATATTTTAAGTGCTCATTTCTGTCTCATTCCTTTTATTGCGCAGAACACTTTAGGCTTCGTAAATCATTATCACATTCCCGTTCTTTTTTTCCAATTTTTTCTCTGTAAGTGTGTAGTCGATGTACAATCGTTCCTCACCCGTTCCTAAGTTCCATTTGTGTTTCTGTCGTAAGGAACGGAAAGGGAAAGTGATATTTAAGATTCTGTTTCTCTTTTGCTGTATCTATATGCATCAGGGAGGTATTCCATACACCCCAGACCCCTTGAAAGCTGAAAAATCGTCTTTTCCCGAAACTTTCCGTGTAAATGAACACTAAAACTAACACGAACGCCTTTGGAAAGGAACGTAGCAACGGAGGGTGTCAGGGGTGTGGAATACCCCGCAGTGTATGACGATACTAAGACAGTCGTAGGGAAAGGGTTGTTAAAGATTTTATTTCCCTTTTGATATAACCTAGGGAGAAACAACTTTCAATTTTTGGTGTACACCCCTTTGAATATTAATTTGAATTTACGTGAATTAATGTGAATTAATTTAAATTAACGTGAATTATTGTGAATTAATTTGAATTAACGTGAATTAATTGGAATGAACGCGAATTCATTTTGAATTAACGTGAATTCATTTGAATTAACATGAAATAATTTGAATTAATTTGAATTAACATGAATTATTGTGAATTAATTTGAATTAACGTGAATTAATTGGAATGAACGCGAATTCATTTGGAATTAACGTGAATTCATTTGAACTAACGTGAATTAATTTGAATTAACGTGAATTAATTGAAATGAACGCGAATTAATTTGACTTTGAATTTTTGGTGTACACCAAAAATGGTACTTGTTTCCCCCTAGGATATAACTATGTACACCTGGGGCACGCCAGACCCCCTGGTAAGTTGACACAGTCGTCATTTTCCAAAAATTTCCGTGTAAACTAACACTAAAACTAATACGTGTGGGAAGGAAGCATTGGGGTATGGAGTAGTAGTGTACGACGATCCTAAGACAGTTGTAGGGTGAGGGATACTTAAGATTCTATTTCTCTTTCGCTATAACTATATATAACTGGGGCGTATTCCATACCATGATTTGTTCCGCAACGATATAATACACAGAAGAAGGACTAAATTAACCAAGTTTTGGTTATGCGATTTTGGATCATTTAAAGAGTTCTCCAAAATTTCTATTGCAGGGTGGAGTACTGCCAAATGAAAATAAAAAAGGAAATTTCAACAGTTTTTTTAATTGTTTATTATACAGTCAGGACTCACTTTAATGGTGTCAAGGTTCTCTTAATGTAGTAATGTGCAGGAGTGTAACAGGGGCGAACCTGAACCAGTTCAATTTCGCTCACCACCTGGTGGTGAGTTTGGAAAGTAGGCCAAGGTGAGTAACGTGACACAAGGTTATTAAAGGTCATTTTTGTAATGTCACATTTTTGTTTTTTTTTTTGTAGTGAAATATTTCATTCAAGGTTTAACAACCTTAATTTTTTGTAGCATCTATTTCCCTTATCACACTTTTTAATGGTGTCATGCTTTAATTTAAAGGACATTGATCTCATTTTTGCGATGTGAAATTCCATTTTCAAGGTCATCATAGGCCAATGACCCCATTTGTTGATGTGTCAAAATGGAATATGACATCGCAAAAAATGAGACCATTGAACTTGGATAGCCTTGAAACTAGAACATGACACAAAAAGGTGTTGTTGGCCTGTGATGACCTCGAAAAATAAATATGACATCTCAAAGATGAAGGTCATTGAACTATGATAACCTTAAAAATGAAACACCACAAAAATCGAGTCGTTGGTCCATGCTGACGCAATAAATGAAATACAACGCCACAAAAACGTGGTAATTCACCTCTAATAATCTTGAAAACAAAATGATGGAACCTTGACCTCGGATGACTTCAAAATGGAATATATTACACTGCAAAATAGTGGAGGTCACTGAACTTTGCCATTGACTTTGAAAATGAAGCAAAAATATTTGATGATCTTGAGAATAAAATATGACATTATAAACCTTGACCTTTAATGACCTTGCAAGTAAACTGTGTCGCTGTAAAAAATGAGGTTTTGACCTTTGCTAACCTTGAAAGTGTAGTATGACAACAATAAATTAGGATCATTGACCTCCGACGACCTTCAAAGCAAATGCCCTTGAGCGTAATCTTTTTCGAAGGTAACCGTCACGTGGCACACGACTGTCACCTTTAACTGGTCCAGGTTCGCCTACTATGTTCAAAGGGTAAGGCTTTATTTCTTCATTGATTAATATTTATCCGGCCTTAACGGAAATCGCCCATGAGTCCCCATCAAGCTATCCGCAAACCCGGATTTCTTTCTCAAGATTAAACACTTTACTTCCCCTAATGAGAAAATGTCAAATTCGAATATGAACTTCACCGAACATTTTTCACACCCTTGGCATGACGAATTTTAGCGCGACCACCGAAATTGATATCTTGTGCTCTTTTACGAAAATAAACTATTTTTTGATAAGTGCTTCCGTAACTGAAAACTGAATTTGTGGTTTGGAGTAGATAAGGTCAATTGAGGGACCCATTTTAGCTCTAGTGACATCACATCACCAGACGAATCAACTGGATTACATCCGTAATCCATTATGAAAACAATACTCCACAGAAATTAAAAGACGCAGAATGGATTGTTCAATTCCACCAAATGCATACAGATTTATTCTTGAAATTCCACTAGCCACGTAATTTATTGGAAAATTTGCACTTTAAATATCGACACCCTGTAGATTTATAACCTGTTCTAACTCCTTAATCTAAAAAAAAAATTTACTTCATGAACGCAAATTTAGAGCTAACGCTGCAGTGGTTTCTAAAATACCCTATTAAATATAGCATCTTAACTCTCTAAGCGCTCCTTGCAACCGTGCTACATTCCTTCCCAAAAACGCGTGAGCCTACACGGTAATTTTTGGCAAAAAACGAGTCAAATTCCTTCCCAAAAACGTTTAGAAACGTTCGTTTATATGGCAATTTTTGGAAAAAGTCGAGTCAGTTTATCGGGGGGTTTGGGGGATAAGGTATAATAGTTATAGAAAAACAGAAATAGAATTTAAATATCTCTTTCTACGACTGTCTTAGGATCCTTGTACACTGCGGATACAAAATAACTTCTTATCAATGAAACACAGCCGTCTTTACTTGCTGATTCGGTTACCCCGGCGATCTAAACCCAGCTATGGGCATTGGGCAATCCCTGCTTTGGTCGTCCCGGCCATTTGAACTTTGCTGTAAGGGGAGATGGAAAACATTTAAGACGCGGTGAACATATGAAGTAAATCTGTGTTTATTATATTGAAACAATTGACTGGAATTAAGTTCTCCTATTTGTTACTATATATAGTGTGAGATTTTTCTAGATTCTAGATATAATACAATTTGAATAGTATCAAATTCAATTGCAAAGGACCCATTTTTAAATAATTGCATTTTATTTTTATATATAATCTGGTAAAATGCAATTTTTTTTAAATGCACCGATAGCAATTGCGCAAACAAGGCGGCTTATTTGAGCTTCCTTGTATATTTCAACCATAACGTCTACTTGCGGTACCTAATTTGACAACCGCTTCTAAAGTAAATCATTGTTTATGTCAAAAAAAAAAGAAAAATGGGGTTGGACAAACGTCGTTAGGAAAGTGTGCATTGCAGGGATAATCGATGCCGGGAAAGTAATAGTCGCCGGGCTAGGTCGTAGCCGGGTATAAATCGCCGGGATGGCCGATGCCGGGATAGTAATGGTCGCCTGGATGGTATGCACTGAATTAAGATACCCACTTTAGCTTTAGTCACAGCGGCATCTCTTTTCCAGGCATGCGAAACTCATTATGAAAACAATGCTCTATAGATATTAAAAGACGCATAAATTAAAAAATTAATTTTTTGTGCAATTGGACGCGAAACAACAACTTCGCGTTCGCCATGGCGGCCGCGAAATTCATTTTCGCGGCCGCTGTCATAGTGACGGCCGTTAAAGTAAAACAATGTCACATATATTTTGACAATCAGCATGTAGGTAATTACAAATCTTTTGGATAAATGTTAATATTAATCGTACAGTTCGTATTGTTACTTATACTTACTCCTGAAAGAAAGTCTAAAGTGTTAGAAGCGTTATACTTTGAAACTGTAACATTTTGATTTTCATTAGAACTCAAACTGACAGGTACACTTTTTTATACACTCGTTTATATTAAGCATGCACTTTAGCATCGAATACACACTCCATAAGCTTGAACTTTTTAAGGTCTTCGATTTTTCCATAAGGTAAGCTAATAGTACATTTTCAGACAAGGTTCCGGATATCGAAGAATCACTTTCGGAGGCACACATTTTGACTTTTCTTTCACGAAAAATTATTCATTGTTTATCTCATTTCCATGGTAAAATGAAAACTGGCCGTCTTTCTATTTGCGACGAAAATTATTATTTTTGAAATCTCATTTTTATTTATTGACGATTCTACACAATTGCACAAAAAATGTTGTGTATACCACGGCCGCGTCATTCTTTAACGTCCTCAAAGTTGCCTTGCCTCGGCCGCAAGCGGCCTCGGCGCCAATCTTCTTTTCGGTACGTTAAAGAATGACTTCGCGGCCTAAGTATACAAATAACTATTTTTCAAGCCGTTATGGCCCTTTAAAACTTTTGACACCTTCATAAACAGCAGAGACCCCCCCGTTGCCACGTTCCTTCACAAAAACTGGGGAATATTCCATACCCCAGATATATCTTACGATCGTCGTATTCTGGGGGTACGTTTCCGGTGCTACTTTCCTTTCCATTGGACGTGTTAGTTTTAGTGTGTGTCAAAATTAGTTTCTGTGACTACAGCGCCACCTGATACTACGACAAACCCACTCGTTGGTATTTCCGCGTAACACAAATGTAATGGTCAAATATAGACCATAACATCTATCAATTAGCGAAAAGCAGAAGTCTCTAGGTGCCCAGGGGCCGAGATCTAGATGGAACACACAGACGGACGGACAGACGGCGGAAACTCGAGCACATAAGCGTTACCTCAACTTCGTTGTGTTACGCTAAAAAGCTCTAAGAACATGTCATTCAGAAAAAATAACCCAAAATGAGCGCATAGATAATGAAGAAAGACATACTCAATCCAAAGTACGGTGACATTTCAGTCCAATTTGAAATGGCGGATAACTCCATGACCGTGTTCGTATTAGGGCACAAAATAACACAAATACTAAGCCCCATTTGAATAGCACAAAATTTTTAAGATTTCGCAGAAATTGGAACAGTGTGCCTAAAATTATTATGCGATATATACCAACATCTTAATTTAATAATCAAAATCAAAGTATCTAATTAATCAGTTCTATGTTTGACATGCACTGGTTTTTGATTTGCCAAAAGCTCTTACCACGATCGATAGCCAGCACAACGCAATTAGCACAGCTGTTTTCCACATTTTCTCGGTCATAACTGATGATATCAACCATTTTAATTAGCGCTAATTGTCGCAAATTGATCGCGCAATTTTTGTTTGTTTTTCAGACCGGCGAGATGGAGGTGAAAAATCCATTGTTCCAAGACGATCCGACGCCCGCACAGACGCCGAAGCTTGCAGACGACAAGAAGTAACACCTCTACCCCTTATTGACCATTCTTTTAGTTTATCAAGAGCGTATATATTACCTGTTATATGCAAAATATGGATCTATTTTTTGTTAAAATTAATGTAATATTTATTGAAAGTATAGTTTATGAACATCAAAAGGTGTTAGGTAGTGGTAAGCGTCATATCTTTTTTACGAGACGAAAAAAGTGAGGGGTCGGTAATTTATGGTGAAGAAATTGCATACGTTAGAAATTAATCAGGATAATAAAATTAGAAATGAGCTTGAATTATATCAATTACTTGCGTGGGTAAAAGTGGTCGGGCATGCTTTCACTTTTGGCCGAGGAAGTGCACGCAAGGAAGTGATGAAAGTGATCTAGAATTTTCGAACCTGTTTGTACTAATAATCATAATACTAGAAACGCGCCCATTTAACGATTTTGTAAGTCTAGGTATATTTGCAGGAATAACAATAACAATTTGCTCACAGAGCCACAGCACACATTCATACAGTTGTTAAAAATCAGTCAAGTAACAACATTAAATATAAATTAACGGTACCACTGGGGCGTTAAGCCGCTCCTGGAAACTTCCAATTGTTCACGGCACTTTTTTGTACGTCACTCACGTCTTTGGTAATTCTCTTAGAAGCGCTTTGTTTGTCTTTCCGATCCCAACCGTGGTGGTGGTCGACATGGTGGTGCTCATCGTGGTGATGATCGTCGTGGTGGTCGGGAGTCGGGAACCACTCCTGGATAATGACCGGTTTCCAAATCACCTTCCACGCGGGTACCCAAATCTCCTTCCAGTCCGGCACCCAAATCTGCTTCCAGGCCTCCTTCCACTCCAACTTCTTATCGGGTACCCAAATCTGCTTCTTCTCCGTCCGCCAAATTTGTTTCCAGGCCGGCTTCCACTCTAGCTTCTTGTCCGAGACCCAAATCTGTTTCTTTTCGGTCCTCCAGACCTGCTTCCACGCCTCTTTCCACGCGAGTTTTTTATCCTCGATCCAAACTTGCTTCTTGGCCGACCGCCAGATCTGCTTCCACGACTCTTTCCACTCTAACTTCTTGTCGTGCACCCAAATCTCCTTCTTGGCAGTCTTCCAGTACTTATTCCAGACGGGTTTCCAGATCAGCTTCTTCTTCCAAATGTCGTGTGCTGTGTACTCGTTTCCGTGGTGGTCCTTTCCGAGGTAGTGCTCGCCGTGCACACCTTCTTTCACCCAAACCGGCACGAAGGATTTCTTCCACGCCGGAATCTGGATCTCTTTCCACGCGGGAACTTCGATTTCTTTCCAGACGGGTATCCAGATTTTTTTCCAAGCGGGTACCTCTATATCTTTCCACGCGGGCACCTTGACCGGCACCCAAATCGGTTTCCATATCTTCTTCCAGTCCGGCACCTGAAACTCTTTCCACGCCGGCACCTGGATTTCCTTCCAAACGGGCTTCCACACTTGTTTCCAATCGGGAACTTGGTACTCTTTCCAAGCTGGAACACTGATTGGTACCCATATCGGCTTGTGGTATTTCTTCCACGAAGGTTTCCAAATTTTCTTCTTCGCCGGCTTCCAGATCTTCTTCCAACCCTTTTTCCACTGGACCTTCTTCTTCCAGTAGCCCGGATCGTGGTGGTGATCGTCGTGGTGGTGATCATCGTGGTGGTGAACATCATGGTGGTGATCATCGTGCTGGTGGTCATCGTGGTGGTGATCGTCATGGTGGTGCTCCTCTTCGCCAGTGTTATAGGCGCCGAGCCCTAATCCGCCATCATCGCCACCGCCTCCGCTGCTAAATCCGCCACCGCTCGATCCGTAATTGGGCGAATAATCGTAACCGACTCTCCTTGCAATTCTAGAGTAAATGTAATTAGACAGCAAAAGGCGATTTGTGTTATCTTACGGTTTGGCAACCTTCCCCTGCGACTCGATAGCCTTCCCAGCTACGAAGACAATTATTCCCAGTACGATCTGAAATAAACAAAAGTGTATTTAAACCCTTTTCTCGATGTAATTATAAGATAAATATGCACTGTACGTTAGCGATGTGTGTGAAATTTCTACTAATAGAAAACGCACCAAATCCCTACTTATTTTCGTATTCCATAACTGCAAAATGTAGGTAATTACTATGTGATATGTTTAATTGTTAGTTAATGTAATTTTAGTTATACTGTAAGATGACACTAATAAATAAATGAAAACTGTGAGGCTTTGCACTATCACCGACACAAGAGATTAAACCACTAACCACTAGGTGCTTGTAGACCCACATAGTTGAGGGACTTCTTCGTCAAGGGAAAAACTTCACTTATGATCGCAAAAGTATGTGTCGAAGAAATTATATAGGATTAGTATCGGGCGGCGTTGGGGGAGCGAAATGAAAGGTGGGGCCCTCTTACTTTCCCCAAGCCACCCTCACGGTCGCGAAGGTCAAGGGACAAGGCCGTGGAGAAATTTTCGTTTTGTTTTCGATAGGAAAACTTATGATTTATTAGCGTACTTGCCCTAGTAATTGACAAATTGGTTCGCATGTAGGCATAGTGCGTATGTTAATTTTTGAAGAAAGTTGTTTTCTCTCGTGTTTTAGCTGAAGTCGTTTTCGGTAGGATCGGCGTGTAAGCGTTTTGCATAATTTATATTAATTGTGTTAATGATAGGTTGAATTTGTAGTGCGCAATTAAACTCGCGCGATATTTGCCAGTGAAATTTTGAGGTAGTCGTACGTTAACGCGTATTTTAGACGAGTTATGCAGGAGGTCACTAGCCTATGAGTGAATGTGATGCACCTATGGGTAGAGTTTCATCAAATGAGCACTAGCTCCGAGAAATTGCCAGAAAGGATTGAAAGAGAGACGCTGTCTTTAAAGATGGCCAGGTTTTCTAAAAGACCGATCAAGGGGTTCGTCGAGGGAAGGCATACTCATTTTCGAATGTGCGCTGTTGGTGTCAAATTGACAATGATTGATAAATTGACTTTGGGACCAATTTCCGACAAGTGGTACCTACCTTCTGCGACATTCGCTCCTCGATGACTGGAGATGTTAAACTCCGAGATCTAACCTTTCCTCAGGGTTCAAGAGTAAAGTTTAAAATTCTACCACGAACCTAGAATCTCAACCTCTGTACCCCAAACCTTAAAATTCAAACCCGAAACTTCAGGCATGAAGTTTTAAACAAACCTTGAACTTTAAGGACTATTTACTCGCATTTCGCGCTGGTTTTAAACTAACCCAATTCTGATTAATCGGGAAATTCTGAACTTGAACTCAAAATATTCAAGAGTGCTGAGTTATGGAATTTTCTTCTGACGACCCTTATCTTTTATCCAGAATTTCAATGATAGTGATCATTATGTGACTGTGGTAGGCAAGTCAAAGTGATGGCTTCCAGTTCACTACACCTTAAATCCGAAACCGTTGAGGAATCACTAGCATTTCTGACTGATTTTGTTTCCTTTAATAAAGTGCAATTACAAATGGCAAAAAATTAAACTACGGTACGGGACTCAAGAATGTATTAAATTACTTACGGCAAGAATCAAAAATGGCAAAAGATAATAGATTTGGAGGTAAGTATGGAGTAACATTAGTACTCAAGATAACAGACTGAAATTTATTTATTTTTTTAGACAATCGATCGCTTAAATTTAAAAAAAAACAAAAACAAAATAAATTTCAGCGTGTTATCACAGATTTAAATGTACTTTTAAATCTGTAGTGTTATCTTGAGTAGGTACTAATGTTACTCCATACTTACCTCTAACACCACATGTTCAATATGGAACAATTCATACACTTTATAATAGACTTACTTACGGCAAGTACAAAATGGCACAAGATGCCCACAAAATCCAGTGTTTACCGTATAAAGAAATCCGAATTTTAGAAAATTTCCAGCTGCTCGCTGTATTCAGTACTAAATCGGTGCAAATTAATTCGGTTTTTAAATTAATTACTCGGCCTAAATTTATCGAAAAATTTAGGATGGACATCAGACTTCCACTCTTTTAAGCGCGCTCATTTTGATATAACTCTTGGCGCCGTCTGCCGGTTTTTCTACAACTTATTAAAACCGTCATTCATTAACTATGCTTACCCAATTAAGCGTTTTCAAACTTCCACACTCGTTAATTCAATTAACACCTAGACTGATTGTAATTTTCCGGCGCAACAACTGTTGTCGTTATCGACAACCTGGCATGTCTGTAAAACTGATAACGTCTAAACAACTCGAAACTCGTTTGTGCCCTGGTTTTCGTCTATTATGGGAATCTAAAGTACTTCATAATTAATAAACCGCGCTGGAATATCAAAATCAGAGCTGAGTACTGCTCGCGAGGGTTTCGCTCGAAAAAGCGTTCCAAGCGAAAAAAGCGCTTACGTGCGCATCGCTCGCGAGCACTTTTCGGACCGGCCGCTTGGTGCTCGATACTCGAACGTTTACTTAAAGTGCCCGGCGCTCGAGCGCTTTTTTCTGTCCGCGAGCGGTTTTTCCGCTCATGAGCTTTTTTTCGGCTTGCAAGCTCTTTTTTTACTGGCGAGCTCTTGTTCCGCGGAAAAAAACCGTACGGGAGCGGGAAAAACCGTTTAATCTTTCAGCACTTGAAGGTCCATGTTTTCTCCTATTTCTCCCTTTGTTTCGACCTCTTCCCGTTTGTATCCGTTTTTTTTAAATATTTTGTTGTCCCCACCTACTTCCCTTTATGTTCATCCTTTTACCCTTTCTCTCCTTTCCTCGAATTTATCTCCCTGCGTTCGGACTCCCAGTACCCACTGTTAATCTTCTAGTTCATCCGATTCCTTCATTCCCACATCTCCGTTCCATTCACCAATTATTCGAAACTCATTTTTGAATTTATTTCCTCTCATTCTTCACATCTGCCTAATCGCAAATTTTCCTCTTTTCCGGTATTCCCTTACATGTACGTTTGCCCAATCATTTAGTTGCCTCTGGTATCCAGTTTCCACTTCGTTTCCATCTCCATTTTCTCTCCTGCCTCCTTTGCGAAATCTCATCATCATCGATTTTTCTACATTTACTTTGATTCGTTTTCTTTCCCTGTGCCTCTCCAATCTTGTCATAAACTGTTTTTCCCTTTTTCTGCCATTATTACTGTTTCATCAGCGTATTCCAGGGACTATCTTCTTTCTTCATATATCTTATGTAAAGGTTAGCGAATTTATTGTGCAAAACCCTTCAGACCCCTTCCCTTCTAGCCTTACCCTACTTATTGTTCCTCCATATAACTCCTCGACTGTCCCTTTCAAATTATCTATTTTCCTATCTTCAGTCATTTTCATATATTTTCTCTTTCTAAACAGTCAACCGCTGCCTTTAAATCCATGAAAAATACACTTCCGACCTTTTTTCCAATTCGTTTTCAACTATTTTGTGTGTAAATAATCATCAAAGACACAAAGTTAGTTCGTCTTATTTGAGTTTGTGTTTCCGTTTTTACTTTTAGAAGTGTTGGTAGGTGCATAATTTAATCGGTTTCGTAAATTATTCGATTTAGATATGGTGTTAGAAGTAAGGTTACACATGGTCGTTTGCGATAAGTAGTTAGTAGTTTTATTATCACACGAAAATTTAATTAACGCACGTGTTCTGGTGCTGATAAGGATATGCGGCGTTAAGTGCGCCGGAGGATCACAAATCTTTACGACCAGATTGATTGGAGTATTTAATAACTGTCAGTAAAGTCTTTAATTCATTTATCTGTCGAACGCTTGCGTGCGTGGTATGTGTAAAAACAAGCTCAGAATGCTTTTCTTTATTCCAGCATTGTTGTTTTAATTTTTTCGCGAAATAAAATGTTTGTCAATCAATTAATTGTTTATTCGAATCCATTGGGCAACCCAGTGAGAGTTTTCATGTCAAGTTTTTCTCCAAATTTGTGTTGATCGAGGTCACCTAGTCTCTCAAATTGAAAAATGTTAAGCCAATATTGGGATTTTCCATTTCAGCAGATACCGGAAGTGTACGAGGAGAGATTATAACATTTGTGATAATCCACCCTTATGGTTAGGCAACGCACCTTTACATCTCAAACAAAAATATGATATGCTCTGTATATAACCAATCGACCGTTCTGCGCAGATGTCTAAGACTAGGGGATTTTCATAACGAAGCTAGGAAAACAAAAGAGCGTGGCAGAATGAAGAAGATGGCGACGGGGTCGATGGAGGCCATCACGCTTTCCTACGTTTCTCTTCTTGATTATTTAGTTCATTGTGTTGTGTTGAAGGTGTATTTACTGGTAGCAACCATTTTTCAGTGTCTTCAGTATCCTCTCTTCTATCTTTGTCCATCACTTTCACCTGCTTTCCTTGGAGGACTCTAATAAAGTGCTCGATACAGTCCTTTATTTGTATCCCTCTTCCACTTTTTATGTTTTCCCTTTTCCTCTGTATATTATATTTCAAAAATGTAGTTGTAATGCCTGACCCCTGATAATATGCCTCCTATTAACCCCCTTCGAAAATTGTTTCATCCATATGGATTTACTCGTTAACCCATTCTTGATTTTCTCCCAGTTCTTTTCTTTTATCCTTGATTCCACCATCCCCACCACATTATATCCTCTTAGAAACTCCCAGAATTGTCAGTTTCTGTCTGCTTTGGTACTACAACCTACAGTGACTCTATAGAGACAGTGTGGGTACTGTTGACAAGTTTTTTAGGGAACCAATGTGCTTGTTTACATAAATCAAGATTACTGAAACAATGTATTTATTTCACTCGGTACACAGATGAGTGAAGGTTATCCTTTATTATGTGGGAGCTTAGACCATTGAATTTATAGTTATAAATTCAATGCTAATATAATATAACACAAAGCGCTATAATTAAGGTAACGTAATCCTTTTGATTTGTATTTAAAATAACTATCTGTTCTCTTTAAGAAGTTACATTAAGTTTTACTGAACGTAATTAAAGGAATTTTTTTAAGAATCGATTTTTGTAACATGGAACATATGGAATCTACAGATTTTGATGAATCTATAGAATGTACAGGATCTACAGATTCCACAAAATCTACAGAATCTTTAAGTTTTATGCTTTGATGTTGGAATTACCGAGTAACTATTTATTTAAACTTTACAATAAATCACATCCAAATTTCAATTCAAATATCCTTGTTCGAGAACGAGCATGCGGTGCATAATGAATTAGAATATAGAACATAATTACATAACACAACAACAAAGTATTGAACAGAATAAAAGAAAGTAATTTCTTTTCGTTCTTCCTCATGGATGTTATTCCTCTATTTGATCGAAAGTTTTCCTAATTATTTGGTTGGTTTCCTCTTATATCACTCACTGCAAAAAGATATCGCGTCGAAGTCCAACTCGCTAATTAAAAGAAAAGTGCTAAATACAAATTTTATATTTACATTTTTTGAGCATTAATTATTACGCCTGCTTTTCTTACACAAATTGCTAATTATGAGAGCTTGCAAGTGGTTTTTAACGCTTAGTTTTGTGGTGACTGGCAAATTTTTAACAATTAAATTAATTATTCTTCGTGCACCGGAAAGTGCAGTGATGAAACGTTTGTTTACAAACAATAGTTCAGTGGCATTGTTTTGTTCGGTCATTTCCGACTTAAGGCCAAATCTGTCGCAATTAAGATGTGAATTTGAACTAGGAAGTTCAATCCCTTTTTTGTAGCATTTGCGCCGGAGTGACTGAGCATCGGCCGTAAACAATATTCCTTTGTGACCAACATTGAACACAATACCGAGCAATTTGTCCTCGACCGACAGCAGTTACATTTGCATATTTCCACAACTAAACACTTAATTACTTGCCGATGGAAAATATTCGTTCGGCTAGACCTTGACCGGATAAGTCTCATTTGCTTCTAATTATATTCACACTTTTTTATTTGTAAGATTTTCGATGAAAACCCGAAGAGAACTTTCGCTCTGGTAACCTCGGCGCGAAATTCTTTACGGTAACAGAACGTGGTTCCCTTTGGGGTAGCCTGGGACGGAATGCCTCCAAAAACGTCCCAGACTAACCCCTTCCCATTTTTTTTCAATAATTAACGAACTTTTATATCACGTCTAATAATTAAGCCAACCATTTTTTTTAAGTCAATCAGGATCGATGTACTCGCAGAGTAAGAAAAACTAGGCCATCCTTCAGAAACCCACACACGGGAATTCTGATGAATTGTATTCTTGTAATGCGAAACGGTGATCCCAGAACTGCGTAATTTGTGGAACAAAACCCGACTGAGGTAATTACCTTCTATATCTCCCACTCACTGAGACCTAAAACTTCCCAAAGCTATTTATTAAGGGTACAACGTGCTATAGAAACTAACTTACGCCATACCATTTATTGCAAAATTCCATCCTCTTATATTTTCAAACCCTGTAAAATTTGTATGATCTGTAATGCATTTGGAAATACGTAATACGCTTCAAGGAGCCTTACTACCCCATAAAATCTAGCCCTGAATCTAGCCCTTTACATTTTTTTATGTTAAACCTTTAAGAGCTTTTGTGAGTTGGTATTGTTAAAAGATAGGTTCAATAACAACTATTAAGGGCCTATATTTAAAAGACATCTATTAACTTTTGATTAAGAGTACATCAGAGGTTTCCAAAGGCTTTCAAGGATCTTTTAGTAATCAGACATTTAATTCTTAAGAGCGTTTAAGAATCTTAGCCCTTAGGAGTGTACAAAAGCCAAAATTGGAAGAGCTTTGAGGATTCATCAGGGGGTTTCATGCAGTCCACAGTTTCAAGGTACAGTTTCAGCGATCAGCTTCAATAATCGATTTCAGTGTACAGTTCTAGTATTAAATTTTAGTGATAGACTTTAGTGTACAGTATGGGCGTACAATTTCAGTGTTAAGTTTCAGTGATCAGCCCCAGTGTACTGGCTCAGTGAACAGTTTCAGTGTATAGTTTTACTGTAAGTGTACAGTATCGTTGATCAGCTTCAGTTTAAAATTTCAGTGATCGGCTTCAGTTTGTATAGTTTCAGTGTTCCATTTCAGGGTACAGTTGCAGTGTTGAGTTACAGTAAGCAGTCTAAGTGTTGATCAGTTTCGTTGGAAAGCTGTTGTCCACAGCTTCAACGCACAGTTGCAGTTCAGCTTCAGTGTACTGTATCAGTGTGCCGCTTCAATGTAAAGTTTCATTCAATGGGCTTCAGTAAGCAGCATGCGTGATCGTTTCGGTATACAGCTTCAGAGTTCAGTTTCAGCATCAATGTACAGTTTCAGTGTATAGCGTCGGCGTACAGTTTCAGTGTACAGTTTCAGTGTGCAGTTTCAGTGTACAGTTTCAGTGTACAGTTTCAGTGTACAGTTTCAGTGTACAGTTTCAGTGTACAGTTTCAGTGTACAGTTTCAGTGTACAGTTTCAGTGTACAGTTTCAGTGTACAGTTTCAGTGTTTCAGTGTACAGTTTCAGTGTACAGTTTCAGTGTACAGTTTCAGTGTACAGTTTCAGTGTACAGTTTCAGTGTACAGTTTCAGTGTACAGTTTCAGTGTACAGTTTCAGTGTTCACAGTTTCAGTGTACAGTTTCAGTGTACAGTTTCAGTGTACAGTTTCAGTGTACAGTTTCAGTGTACAGTTTCAGTGTACAGTTTCAGTGTACAGTTTCAGTGTACAGTTTCAGTGTACAGTTTCAGTGTACAGTTTCAGTGTACAGTTTCAGTGTACAGTTTCAGTGTTCAGTTTCAGTGTACAGTTTCAGTGTACAGTTTCAGTGTACAGTTTCAGTGTACAGTTTCAGTGTACAGTTTCAGTGTACAGTTTCAGTGTACAGTTTCAGTGTACAGTTTCAGTGTACAGGTTCAGTGTACAGGTTCAGTGTACAGTTTCAGTGTACAGGTTCAGTGCACGGTTTCAGTTTACGGTTTCAGTGTACGGTTTCAGTGTACGGTTTCAGTGTACGGTTTCAGTGTACGGTTTCAGTGTACGGTTTCAGTGTACGGTTTCAGTGTACGGTTTCAGTGTACGGTTTCAGTGTACGGTTTCAGTGTACGGTTTCAGTGTACAGTTTCAGTGTACAGTTTCAGTGTACAGTTTCAGTGTACAGTTTCAGTGTACAGTTTCAGTGTACAGTGTACAGTTCCAGTGATCAGCTTCAGTTTAAGGTTTCAGAGATCTGCTTTAATTTACAGATTCAACGTTCCGTCCGAACTACTTGTAGGGGAATGGTTAGAGTCCTGGATTTTTTTGCAGTAGGTAGCCTATACCTAGAAGGTGTACCAGACGGCCATCAAATTTCGCTGTCTAAAAGGGGGCCCCCACGAATTATTTC